CCCCCTTCCTCTTCTTGTTGTTGTTTCTTAGAATTCTTAGTCAAGATTTTCATAAATTGAAGACGACAATGTGATCATATTCTAAGGGCTCTCTCTCGTTTTCAGTCGTTCCCCCTCTCTTTCTGTCTTTGTCCATTTGGAAAAAGTTCCATTAACTCGTTCCTTGTTCCCTCTACTTTTTAATACAAAGAAAAATGAAAATTTCTTTTTCAGCAACCCGCATAATTAGAGAAGGCGGAGGGTTCTGCTTTAAATTTTACTCAATTATTATATTCACCCTGCGGTACAAGTTTTATAACTAAGCGAAAAGAATCGATTTCTAACTCTTGAAAGTTTCCAATCAATTTTTTACGCTTTAAAACCTTGTAACAAGAGCGAAGAAGAACAATTTTACATTATAAAAGTTTTCATTATTGATATGATTTACATCGACCGTTGCTATTTACACGATTCCAACATAACTGGATTGGTTTGAGGTTAGAGGTACGAGGCTTTCACTTTCACAACAGAACAACAGAAAACGTGTTTGTTATTTCGAGGAATTACGAGGCCACGGCTTGGTATAGCTTGCCTTGTATGTAACAGACTTGGTCTATTTCCATTGCCATTGCAGGTGTTCCTCCATTGAAAATGAGAGCAAAAAATCAGTGGCCTTTAAAAAATACCTCAAAGGCCGTGGAAATGAAATAGGAAATCTTCAAAAAGAAAACGCTTTAAAAGGAATAAATGAATTTTTTCATATTTTCGTCGAACCATTTTATCTCATTGCTAGGTTACGAAGTATCGAAATAGCTTTTTTTCAGATCAGTTCTGTTTAGTAAAAAAGAAAGACACCCTATTAGAGCGAATCGAGATAGATTCCAGACTTTTGGAAAATCAAGAAAATGAAAATAAACGTGACGAAGAAAAGCAAGAAACAAATGATAATCGTCAGACAGGTCATAGCAGTGCACCCAAAAATGTTCTCCTGGAAATACGCTAAAGATGAGTAAACATTGAAAGCATTTTAGTGGACCAAGGCTCACCATTACATATCCCACACCGCTTCGGTTAATAGAATGGTTCGCATAAGAATATTTCAAAATAACACTTTACCCGTGCCCCATGGCACGGGCGGCCGATCCGACACATTTTCAATATCGTTCTTCTTCGTTCACAAGACAGCTTTCATCGAAATATTTTACACACACAAGAAAACAAGACGGTCAGAGGGACATCCTTCTGGTTTATTGCATGTATTAGGAGCAGCCACGAGCCGTCAATTTTCAAAACATAGCGTTATATGGAAAGCGGTGATCCGGAAGAGTGATGCAATATAAGCCATTATGCCACAGGTGGTGTGGAGTAAAAAACAAAAAGGAAAGTTCCCTGTGCTAACAAGAGAGGATGACTAGAATTCATTTCCTAATTAGCTTAGTTCATCAAATTATTTACCCACATGTTTGCCATTTAATATTTTTCGATTAGTAATTGTATCCGAGCATATCTAATAGATATAAACGTGTCAATTAGATTTCAATCATCAATTTTAATATGCATGGCAGGCACTTTGAATTTAAATTACATTTTACGCACAATACATATGAACGTATATCTAAATATAAATGAATAAATGAATAAGCGGTGCATAACTATACATGTTTACCTCTGCGTCGATCTTCTCTACTTCGTTTGGCATTTAAAGATTGTAAATTTAACATTTTATCAATATTTCTTCCATAGCCTTAATATAATCAGTCAACCAACATCTGTATACTCCGCTAAATTCTACAAAAGCTTCCCAATAAAACACAACATATTACATCTGCCTTGTTATTCAAATTAAGTCACCACCAATGGCTGAAATTCAATGGAATCTCGAGTGTTTCGTATATTCAGAAATTGTTACTATCTTAAAAGCTCACTCTGATATATCAGACTTCTCATGTCAAAATATTCAATTCACTGCCTACTCCAACTCTACTTTTATTGCCGCAAATGTTTAACTGTTTAACTTTTAGTCCTTTTTAATACATAAACACATACATTTGTTATAACCATTATAATAGATAAACACGTACATATTATAAGATTTCGCCCTTTTCATTTATTTCAATTTACTTACATCTTTGATGCAAAAAATGTTTCAGATGAAATTTAGATTTCTTTTCAGATAGCAATTAGTTTTGAAGATGTATTATTTAGAACCCATTGAACCGAACCGAACCGAACCGAACCAAGCCAAAACTAAAAGAAAATTCGTCACTTGATTTTTGTAAAAAAATTGGGGCAAAGTAGCGATAGATGATATAGGTGTTTGCGGTTACGAATATTGTAATATCAAGTTGAGGTTATAAAATTAATATTTTCCTTTTGCTAGCTTTTACATAACTTTGCTTATATACTATGTTTGCTAATTTTTTTTGGATTATATTACACGCGTTTAGTGCGTCTACTGTAAAATAAAAGAAGAAATAAGTAAGTGAGCGAACTTCGAATTCTGGCAAATTAAAGGAGAAGTAAATGAGTGAATTTCAAATAATAATAGAAATAAAAACAAGAGTCAAATTTTTAAAATAATTTTTGAACACACCTGCAAAATTTAAAACAGCAGAGAAAATTATTAAAAATTTAATTGCTTTTTCTTGTAATAAACCAAAAACTAAAATACGTTTCGAAAATAGTATGAAAATTGGGAAAATTGGGTCTTTCGCCCGTGTTCACCCAAAAAACAAATGTTGAATAAAAGGGCTTTCATTCTAATAAATTATGTATGCAACACAAATGAATTAAATGCGTCACGTTTGCTTTAATAATATTTTATAATATTTCCTCTCCTATTAATTTCAACATAAATAAATAAAAGCGTTGGCATTCTAAACATTCTCGTTTTTCAGTCATTGACTTATTGTAAAATATTTTTAGCATTTTTTTTTAGAAAAAGTCACGTATAGAGACGAGCAGATAAGTTGCATATGTATATATATATATATTAGTTTGGGGAAAAAGAAATCCATTATTTTTATATGAACTTCAGGACTTTATTTAACATGCTTCGGATTGTCTGATTTGGGTCAAATATGCACCGTTTTGTTGTACGATTTGTTGCCATTTTAAAGGTAACTTCAAAATGCCTCTCTCATAGAAGTCCTGGTCTCTATTTGCAAAAAACTCTAGTAGTCGATTTTCACAATCCTCCCTAGATTCCAATTTTTTATCATTAAAGAAATTTTGCAATGCAAGAAAAAGATGATAATCGCTTCGTGCCAAGTCCGGACTGTATGGCGGATGCATTAAAACTTCCCAACCAAGCTCCCGAAGTTTCTGGCGAGTCACTGTAGATATGTGTGGCCTAGCGTTGTCCTGGTGGAACACGACACCTCTCCTGTTGGCCAATTCTGGCCGTTTCTGGTCAATCGCTATCTTCAAACCGTCCAGTTGTTGACAGTAGAGATCAGAATTTAGCGTTTGGCCATATGGAAGCAACTCATAATAAATAATCCCCTTCCAGTCCCACCAAATGCATAGCAAAACCTTCCTGGCCGTTAGTCCTGGTTTGACCACCGTTTGAGGTGCTTCACCGTTCTTTGACCACGATCGTTTTCGCACAGGGTTATCGTATGTGATCCATTTCTCATCTCCAGTCACCGTCCGTTTAAGAAATGGGTCTATCTCATTCCGTTTGGCCAAGGCTTCGCAGATGGAAATTCGATCCATCATGTTTTTTTCTGTTAATTGGTGTGGCACCCAAACATCGAGCTTCTTTTTGAATCCAGCTTTGTGTAAATGGTTTAAAACTGTTTTATGGTCGTTTTTTAACTCCTGGGCAATGTTACGACTGCTAACATGCCGGTCAACTTCGATCATTTATCCGATTTTATCGACATTTTCGGCGACCGGCCTACCTGTGCGAGGTGCATCTTTAACATCAAAAATTCCTGAACGGAATCTACGAAACCAAAATTGCACATAATTGGCTGTTACAGTATCGGAACCATAAACACCATTCACAATTTTAGCCGCCTGGCTTGCATTTTCGCCTTTGTCAAAGAAAAACTGTAAAATGTGCCGAATTTTCTCTTTGTTCACTTCCATTTTTAACAGCGCTGTAACTCACAACTGAATGATCCAAACAAAAAACAACAAAAGAATTTTTTTTACTGCGAAATGTCACCTTTCCAACGAGCATAAATCTGAAATTGTTTGATCGATACTTTACGAGAAATCTATCAGTGCAGCCATCTACCGAAAAAATAATGGATTTCTTTTTCCCCAAACTAATATATATACATGTATATGTATTTTTTTTTTATAAGAAATTTTTTAAAACAAATTAAATTACAGAAGCGCATACATAAAACGAAAAGTAATTAAGAAAACTGTAATCGTTGATAATGGGCCCATCTTCCATTTGCTTGGTCGAGCTAAATGCATCCACATCCTATCATTCTGTCATTGAAATCGTTTTGCCGTATCTTTTTCGCTTTAAAGGTTTAAATGCCTTTGCTCAATATATACTATGAGAAAGAATTTTGAATGAATACTCGGAGTAATCGGAAATTTTTCATTGTGTATTTTTGTAGAACCATTGCGGATTAATTGCAGGCTTTTATCGCAATTCTTGTCTGCCTGTAAGCATGAAAATTTTAACATATGGATGTACGGACCTTATTGCATTAACTGCTTGTCCTTGCAGACAAGGTCAACGATTGATACAAGTATTGGTTGCGTATGTACGACCACCCTTTTGGCAACCTACATGAAAAATACATACTTATTACTCTTCTTCTTCTTCTTCCTTTCTCTTTTTGAATCGTCTTCCCAAAAAACCAATAAAATATTTGCTCGTTTCAAAAAGCTTTTGTGACAGTTATTTCCGGACGCAATTTATAAAATGCTCTTAAGTTTCTTATATAAAAATATTGAAAAATTTCTTATTTTATGCCTTTCATATCTAAATTTACATTAAAGTAAAAAATTTGGCTTATATAAATTTTCTTAAATTCTATCTATCGTTGCAGTGAAGACAGCTTGTCAGCATAGAAAAACTTAATTAATATATCTCAGATGCAAACAAGAAAAAAGAAAAAGCAAAATGAAGAAATAATTTCTTGCATATGTGTATGTAAAAGCGAAAGACCACACATGCAAAACAATGCCTACATATACGTACAATCGACTATGTACACCAGATCGTACGCAAATGAAAAAAGAAAGGCCAAGAGGGAGAGGGAGAAAGAGAGAGAGAGAGAGAGAGAGAGAGAGACAGAGAGAGAGAGAGAAAGAGAGACTCAAAATTTCGTAATGACGACAGCGAACATTTAAAGCATTAAAGAAAAGAAAAATATGCACATATTACCTATATATACATATATACATACATATATAAATGTGAGAGTATGTGCCTGTGTGTGTGCTTGGTGGGGCTAAATTGGCGAGATATGGGTTAAAAATGTTCACAGAAAGGCTGAAAAGAGAATATTATGGGAGCTAGCAAATATAGCTATTACGCCTCAGCTCCAACCTAACCCAAGCCAAAAACAAAAGCAAAAGCAAAAAGAAAATCACAACCACGTCTTCATTGCATTCAGTTAGGAAATGCATAAGAGACATGCGCGATATTGCACTTGAACCTGAAAATTGTTGTAAATGCACAAACAATCTTTGCTTCTCGTAAACTTGAAATTAATGCAATAATGCGTCGCATACACGCACACATAACATGGTTACAGCTTTCTCTACTCAGAAGAGCAACATGCTGAGTGGAGAGAGAACATCAAGAAAATAAGGCATGAAGCATGAATAATTTTGCCCTGCACAATTTACGCGGAATTGAATAAAAAAAACAAAACAATGCAAGTAAGAGAGGCGAGAAAAATAAAGCTTTAGTTTCTCCGTAAAAGCTATATAACGGTGAGTACCGCAAGGATATTTATTTTCACATAACATATCTAAAAGTCAAAATAAGTAAAAGTTTGGTAGGAAAACTTATATTTCTTTTCTTCTCTTTTTAAATAAAAAATTTAAATCATTTTTAAAATGACAAAAATTTAAAATAGATAAAAGATAAAAACAAAAGAAAATTTATGAAAAAAAAAACGCTTCGCTAAACCCTAAAGCTTTCATAAAATATGTACTTCCCATAAACTCTGTCTGGTATATGATAAACTTTAAGAGTAGCTGCTTGCAAGCAAAAAAAAACAAAAACAAAAACAAGGAAAAGAAGAAAAATAAAAAACTATCAATAACAAACTTTTCCATTGCCTATCTCTAGGTGTATGAAAGTTTACAAAGCCATACAAAGCATTCATCGATAGCAGCATCTCCACAAGTGAAAGAATATGTGCTTCCGAGAAATTTTTATTAATAATAATAATAAAAAGAAGAACTAAAGTGAATATTAAAAAAAAAAACCAAATTAATTAAATTGAAAAAAAGAATATAAAAAGTGCAAAGAGAAAGTGAAAGTTATTAGTTTCTTATCTAATTAAGAAGGTAAATTTTTTGTATAATGAAAAAATATCATAAATTAAAACCAACAACAGACTACTACTACTACTACATCAATATACGTATATGGTATTTTATAGGTATTTTATAGTTCTTTTTTTTTCCTTATAGTTTTCCAAGGTCAAATAGCGAAACACGAATAAATGAAGAAAGAGAGTTTGTATCCGAGCGGGGGAAGGAAAAAATAAAGATAGATGAGTAGTTTTCTTGTTCTTTGCGTTGATATCATTTTATCAACTTACAATGTGACACTTGTTGCCCGTGCCTTTACAATTATAATTAACTGCAGCATGAAATGTAAGACAATCTATCGATTTTTATAGAATGCATTACATTACATTAATGTAGCAATATTCATGCAATTGATAACTGGATGAACTAAGAAAAATTTACACTCCAAAGTCCAACAACTTTGCTTTTTGACTGTAATAAACATTTAGTTAGATTTAGAAGGCCAACCGACCTTTGCTTCTACTCAATATCATGTTGCTTCATTCATATCATGCTCTTTTATGTAAGCCTTGAGTTCGAAAATTGAGATCCGATCTCTGTTCAAGTTTGAAAAGATCCGTTCTCGTACATTAAAACGGAACAAGAAGAAATGCGTAATAAGAATCGAATGTTTAAAGCAAGTATTCAGATTTCTTACAATATGTCAATATATTGTTTTATTTTGCTTTCTAACTTTTACACGTGAGTGTTAGCATAAGCTATGAAATGTTTCCTATTTCAGTCTGCATGGAAACACAAAAAATGTATTTCTCGAGTAGAAATATAGGTAGAAATCAACCTTAGCAATCGAACAAGTCGAGAAAATACAATCAACTAAGAAAGGAGCGTGTCAGTTGGCTAGTGAGGAATATGTCTGCTATCTGCTGACCGCAGCGCAAGCTGCCCAGTGTTATACTTATATATATACTTATACTTATATATGTATTACTTATACATATATTATTACATATATGTATAAAATTGTTGCTAGGCATATTTTTCGGTTTCGAAGTTCGCTCATTTACTTCTCCTTTTTTTTTGACCAAATTCGAAGTTCGGAATTCATTTCCATAGGTTACAATGATTTGCTTACATTTCAAGTCGGACAGACGGGCGAATGGAGGAATGTACTAAGTTCATTTAGAGGATCTGTATTATTATAAAGTATAACTGTAACGTATGTTATGATAACAAAAAACTTAATATGAAGAGCATTTTTCTAGGTGCTGTCTGGCCGTTAAGAAACTTCACCTGTCTTAATAAATTTCCAAAAAAAAAAAGATAAGAAGAAAAAGAACAAATTACCTTCAAGTTTATAAGCGAGCTTGAGCTAATTATAGGACGAGAGAAAAAGCTTCTCAACACGGTGGTTGCCTAAACTAAAAAGAAAAAAAAAAGGAAAAATAAAAATAATAACAATTAATAAAAACAAAGAGAAAGCTTTTCAAGATAAATGCGCTTACTGCCGGGATACACCCTGTGCTCGCTTTGAAATTTTCTATTAATAAAATTTTATATGATATTAGTGAACACAGCTTGGTGGTATCTCAGTAGTAGAAGGCAAACAAGCCATCTTACATTTTAAAAGCATATTAAATATTATTGATTAAATTGCGTATGTAAGTAAACTTTTAAAAACAATAACAAAAAAAAAAGGAAACAGTGAAAATGCATAGAAAATCAACATGCATTTGTAACATGTAAATGTAAGCTTGTAAATGTGTCTGAAGTAGAAGTGTAAAGAAAAAATTAATATAATAATAAACACCCTATGCTCGGAGTTTGAATTTCGTGTCTTCGTGGCAAGCTGTATTAAATGTCCAACTTAACAGAAAACAAAGGTTCAACTCTGTTAAAATTGAAAACTTTAGGATATTTACTATCTTCTAATGTTTCTTTATTTTTTATGATGTGGGAGCATTAACGTCGTCGCCGTAAATACAAAAATCGATGCCCGATCGATCGATACGATTTATATATACACTGAGCGAAACAATTTTTAAAATTTGATTTTTGTTTTTTGTTTTTTGTTTCACACAAATTATTAATTTATAGATGCAGATGGAATGGGCGACGAAGGTAAGTAAGTCCTCAAATGTCATCAGTTTTTCTTTATTTATTTATGTTTTTTTTGTATTCTTTCTTATTTATATTCTTTAATAGAGTTTAGTTTGAGTTAATTGATTTAATTTGAACCTTCTCTTCTTTTTAACCATAAGTCTGTTTTTATTTTTTGTTTTCTTGCTTTTAAGTTTTATGCGTACATTAGTTTTTAGTTATAAAATAATGTTTAAAGAGTTATATTTTGGGTTTGTTTATATTACGTTGTTAAATACTTTTAACGAATCCTTTCTTAGCATATTTACTTTTTTCTTTATTAATAAAATTAGTTTTTAAAAATAATTTTATTTCTACTCTAATATTGAATTGAAAATCAGTGCAAATTATACGAAAAAAAAAGAAAAAAAAATTGCATATTTTCCGTATTTTATTTCTATATATATTTTTTTTTTTATGAATGAAAACATTAAAGAATTTTTTTACAAATCAAAATTAATTAAAATTGATTTTAGGAAATAATTAAAAAAAAAAAAAATGAAAAACTATGCATTATTTGTTCATGCATTCATTTTATATTTCTTGATCGATCGTTATATCCAATTATATAAAACAGTAGTTCTACTCAAGCAGCAAGTCAATCATACATGCTTCTCAATAATGCATTTCATAAGAGCACAATGGTTTCTCGGGGGCAAGGAGGAAAAAATTAACAAAATATCAAGCATAGGCATAACGTTTGTGCAATCCCACGATCTCTCTTACAGTAGGGACGTCAATAACACGTAAGCTACGCAAGAACCAACAAATTTTTCTTGCGGTTGCAGTTCAAATTTGAATCGCCATCGATATAAATATATATATCTATCAGTTTAGGGCGAACCTATTTAGTCTAAGAGTTACAGATAAAAATTAACTGTAACTATAAAGATGGCCAACACGACGTATAACTTGTATATATTGCAGGGGCTTTAGTTATACAGCATCAAAGGAAACTTTTATTCGCCTGTAGTTACAATTAATCTGCGCTTGATTCCCTTAGCTATCGTTCGTTATAAGGGGAAAAATATTTCGGCTCAAAGTTGCAAGCACATGTTGCACAAACATGGCGTATGAGTTACATACTTGCGTAAATATGCGTTAATCACTAGGATAGAAATTTGCAAAAATTTAACAAACACAATCAACGAGTTATGCATGAATAAACATGTATATGAAAATTGCTCAGACTTTAGGAGGATTTTATGCAAGTACGACTAATATGATGCTTGAGTTATACAGGGAAACGTAAGAAAATCGCTTGGATTGGCAGAAGGAAAAGTGTCTTTTGCAACACATTTTTATTATATTAACTGTGGTTAAAATTATTTTCGTATTCTTTTTGGATGAGAAGATTAACTGCTTTTATGGAGCGGATAAATCTATGACACTCTGCTAATGGAGTTTTAGCGAAACCAACAAAAAAATACTTTCTGCCATTTAGTATATTTGTAGCTTGTACCGGTTCAACCTATAGGTTACAATTTTTGATGAAATTTGATACATTAATATGCTTTGACCCAAGGACAAACCCTTTCGAAAATGCTTCGGATCAGTGCGCTTTTTCCACCACTCCACACATAATGCCTTACTTTAAAAGAGTTGTTACCCGATATTTTAGAGGTTCAAAATAAGTTTTTTAACCGAATTAAACATGTTCGTCCGTCTGTCCGTCTAATACTTTATCCGTTTACTTTTGTATGTAAGAGAATTTCCGTAATATCTCAATGAAATTCTGTTCATTGGCATGTTTAGAATCAAGCAACAAATTGACTGAAAATGCTCAGGTCCATTTCTACGACCGTATCCCGTCTAAATTGATATTGAAAATAAAAGGTTTCACATGAAAAAATGTTATATATATTTTTAATAATAAGTAATAACGTTTTGACAATCAATGGATTGCCACCACTTCATCAACCCTCTTCCGTATAGAAAGCTGTTCTATTGCTACAAAGCCTAACTTGTAATATTTTGAGATGAAATTTGTTATAAAAAGGGTTCTCATGAAAAGTAAACGTTTTCGTTACTTTATGACAAAGATTTAGCGGAGAATTGCATTAAACGCAGCAGTATGGGGATATATAAAAGTTGGTCTTACACGACTGTACCTTTTTCCTCTATATTCTATATTCTAAAATCTTCAGTAGATATCGATATGAAGTCCGGTACAAATTTTCTGAAATTTTGAAGAGGAAAAGTCTACTGTTTGGTCCCTTAATGTCGCTGCAATTAATAGAAAGCTATATTAGA